TTTTCTCAGTCTGTCAGTTCCCTTTAACATTTCATTTTTGGTTATACAGAAGCTTAAAATGTTTATGCAGTTATACATGTCAGTCTTCCCCATTATTGCTTTTGGGTTTTACGTCATTCTTAGGAATGTCATCCCCACTCAACATTATATTCTCCTTTTCCTTCTTTTTTTTTTTTTTTTTTGGTTTTTGTGTTGTCATTAATTCTTTGAAATTTTGTGGATAGTGTTAGGTAGAGATCTAATTTTCTTTTTCTCAAATGTTCCCAACACCATTTACTAAATAGATCACCCTTTTCCAATGTATTGAAAAAAATTCCTATCGTAACCATGATTGCATGATTTTATTTTGAATTATCTGCTTGCAAAGGTTCGAATAACAACTCATGACTACTTTCTAAGTAGTAAAATTATCCCATGATATACTTAAAACAGAATGCACATTAAAAACATAAACACGGTTTTAGAGAGAAAATATTTAATCTATTTCATAAAAAAATGAACAAAGCTTTAGAAAAGAGGCATTCGATTTCAATGTACAGTATAAACACGTTCTTGCTTTCTATAATCACATTTATTACACTTTTGAGTTGGTAATGAAGGCCACTCTGGTCTCCTTACAAACGGTCTACTGTTAACACATACACTTGGAAAAAAATCACTGAAGACTATAGTCTGAAATAGTTGTAGAAATATAGTGTTGTATAAAAATATATTAATCTGTCTACAAGAAAACACTTAAAAATGCACACCAAGTAAACTCTTTCAGAACTAGATCAGTATAGAAATATCAATATATCAACCTATAAATTGGATTTTCATTGCATTTTTTTTTTTTGCCTTTGGAGAAAAAAATAAACATAAGCAAACATTTGGAATAACAGATATGAAGTCAGCACAGCAGACCAAACTCTATTTTTAAAAATAAAACCACAAACTTTATTCACACAAAAGATGGAGAAGTGTGAGTCTCTAAAATTTGATACAAGTATACAATGTTACAATTTCAAATAGTGATATTTAATATATATATTTTGAATTGCCCATAATCCACATAGAAATGATGGCAATTAAATTTTTTCTAAACTAATTCTTGAAGCACCCTAAAACAGAATTTAAACTTTTCAAAAAATTAACCTATGTAAAGTATAATTAAGAAGGTATACCTCAAAGTAGAGAGAAATTAATTTTAAGTAATATATGGCGTTGTTCCCCTCCTTTGAAAACCAATTATTAGAAACTCAAAAAAAAAAAAAAAAAAGAAAAAAATTCATCACAACAAATCATTCAGCCATATCTGTTATTTGTATTACTGTAGTTCCTCACTGAAACTTCCACAGAAACCACTACTGTTTTTTAGAGAAGGAAGCCCAAGGTGTGGAGAGGAAGTGCTAGTATAATTTTCATAGGTAAAGCTGGATGATGAGTATCAGAGGCATGCATGAACAACACAGTTCAACTCTATACAAACACACACTTGCTAGCGTTTTGAACAGTGTAAAGAACACAACAGGTAACCCATACTGTAGATGCTCATGGAATGAATCTGTTTGTGGTGGGACTAAGAATAATGACCACAAATCCTAAACACAGAAAATAGTTACCTGGTAGAATTCTTCTAATTTTTCAGAAATGAACATCTATTTTTATCCTTAATTAATTTTTGTTTTATGCTTTTAACATATTTGATTAACTGTTTTGCCCTTGACGTATATTTCTCATGAGCGCAGCATACTGTGTAAAAATCATAAATATACTGTTTAAACTGTTGTTCTGTGCTGTCAAGTCAATTCTGAGTCATAGCAACCCAACAGAACAGAGTAGAACTGTCCCATAGGGTTTCCTAGGCTGTAACCCTTACGGGAGCAGGTCACCAGGCACATTTAAATCTGAGGCCTGATTTTTTCTTCTAGTTCTCAGCATTATGAGGTCTCATTTCACCTATTTTAAATGTAAATATGTAACCAACTATACTAAAAGCAAAAGGCAATAAATTATGTTTGTCCATATAATTCATAGTTACAAGTTTTTCAACATTAAAAAACATCTGACAATTTTGCTTCAAAACATTACTGAAAAATACCAAGTCTGTAAGTTGCTGCTTAAAGAGGAAGGAATTCATACCATGCCCTTACAGTTACAAAACGCTATGTAGTCTATGGTTGCTGGTATAGGTAAGGAAGTCTATTTGGAAATATTTGCAATTCTTGCCCTTTAGTCTTGGGGTTTTCAACACAACAAAGTGTCCTTTGGTATACCTGAGAGTGACATGCCAGCAAAGAGGGACACGCCAAGCAATGAATAACTATAACTAGGCAAACATTCCACAAGTATCTAGGGTTTTAACTTTCCAACTCTCACCTTTGAAAATAATTAAACCAAATCAGCATGCTAAGAAAAAGGGGTGCAATCCAAAAAGCTGACTGGGGCAGCCTTCTGCTTCACTTTGCCCAGGCTCTCTGTGGTCAGCCCGGCCACGTGGGAGCTGCCAGCAGCCAGTCCCACCCGCAGGTCTAATATGTGAAAGAGCCAAGGTGTGTTGGTCATGGAACGCACAGAGGCAGATTTACTCAAGTCTCTAATCTTGAACATCATTCTTCCTATTACCCCATTGCAAAGAAATGGGAGAAAAGCACACTTTTAATTATTCAGGACAAAATAGTGACCGACGGTTAGCGTGAATTCTTTATTTAAATAACCTGTGTGCCAAAGGAGGCGGAAAAGGCAATCGTGGTGACCAACAATGAACTCTCCTTTTGAATTATGATGCTGTCATCACCTCTTTAAGCTCATGTGCATTTCCTTAGGATTTCAAGAATGAGATTTTATAACAAAATTAACAAATTCTCACTGCAGCATTACTTAACAACGCAACACCCAGCTATGCAGCATTGTGCATCATTCTTTTTAACAGTACTCAACGCTGAAGAACAGTCTGAGTCTAGTGAACACTATACTAGAATCGCCAAACCAAAACCAAACCCATCGCCCATGGCCGTCAAGGAGATTCCAACTCATAGCAACCCTGTAGGACAGAGAAGAACTGCCCTAGAAGGTTTCCAAGAAGTGGCTGGTGAATTCGAACTGCAAGCCTTTCGGTTAGCCACTGAGCTCTTAACCACTGTACCACCAGGGCTCCTTACTATAATAGAATTGCATATAGCTGAGTCATTGTGGCTCAGGTGTTATTTATGAAGCAAGTAAGCAGAAGACTTTATGTGTCTTAACAGACTGGCCAAGTATTATGTTTCTAGAGCTCACTTTGGCTATTAAAACAAAACTCTCTTGAATATGAATAAGCTTTTACAATTTGAGACAGCTCTGTGCTAAGAATTCAGTTACTTTATGGCAAGGTCTTAATTACCTTTTGAACGCCAATTAAAATAGTACTGTTGGAACTAATGTTGGAAAGCTAATTAATTTTTATCCATCAGTGAGTAAAAACTCTGGATAATACCTAAATTTAAGAAAGAATCGTACATAAAATCTTCTGGGAAACAACACTTATACGGACTGTTCAAAATGCTGAATGATGACTGCATAACAAACAGTCCAATAAGTTAATATAATACATGTATTTTAAATTTCGAAAACAACACTGCTAGGCCTTTTTGGGTTCTATGGACTGATTAGTTACCATATAAAACTATGAAAGATTTACATTTAAAAAAAATTGCTTTGAGAGGCAATATAACATGGTGGTTAAGCAGACTCCAACCCAGGCTCTGCTGCTTCCTAAACCTGTGATCTTGATTAGGTTTGTATAACTGCTTACCCTGCATCTCAGTTTTCTCATCTGCAAATTAAGAAAGATAGTACTTGCTTCAGGAGGTTTTTCTGAGGATTAAATGAATTAATATATATAAAGCTCTTAGAAAAGTGCCTGGCACATAGTAAGCATTCAATAAATGTTAGCTATTATTTTTATTACTTTATTTAAATACTGTAAAGGCTTAAGAAAGCATTCGTAAATAAATGCTCTTAATTTTGCAGTTTTCACTCTACATGTAGTAATGCTAGGAATTAGGAGACCTGTGCTGGAAAAAAAGATCCAACACTATTCATTCTAGTCACTGTACTGGGAGCTGTCTGACCTTGAGATCTGTCACCAACAAGCTGAAGCTCAGTTTCCTCATCTGTAAAATGGACATAACATCTACTCGTCTGATTTATAAGGTTATTATCAAGCTCAGATGAGGCAATATACATGAAAGTACTTTAAAGACTGTAAAGTACTATCAGTGAAACTTTCTGGTAAAAATATACACATTCTGGTGTAAGTTGTTGGGCACGTGTTACAGAATGTGCTTCAGGGTATGAATGGACCTTCTTGAAGGAAATTTATTATTCATAGTTCCAGACGGTCTTTTATTTTTTTGAGCAAAACTGTAGGTATGCTTCTCTACAACTATAATATGCTGTATAAAATAGTAATATGCTTCATTATAAAATTGTATTCCTCTTCTTGAACCCCAAAACAATGGAGAGTATTAAGATAATAATTAGTTGGCAGAGAAATATTTTCCTTTAAAAACTGCAGTTGCAAAGAAAATGTCAAACCATGTATCCATGGTTCATAAATTATTATTATTAACTAAGATAATAACTAGAAGTTTCATTAATACTAAATGCTAAATGCTTTACAAACACTATTTCACTGAATCCTTACAGCAACCCCATGATGTACGTGTATTAGCCCCATTTTACAGAATCAGAATCCAACTGACTGCAAAGTCCATGCCCTTAACCATTACACTACATTACATAAGAAAAACACAGGAAGAAAAAAGGCACAATTATTTCTATCTTCACCAAATCATATACTTAAGTAAAGAGATCTGGTAGATCAAAGGACTCCAAACCATGCTTTGATCTTTGGTAATAAAAATGACTTTAGAAAAGTTACTACATAACAAGTGCTTACTATTCAGTTAATTTTAAATCTTTAAAAATATTTACCGCTTTATTTTCTGACTTTGATAATAATGCGTTGTTCACTGTGGAAAAAAATACAGACAAGTACAATTAAAATAAAAAAATCCACAATTCCATCATTCTGGGTAACCACTATTGACATATTCCTTTTGCATATATTTTTATGTAATTGTGAACTATAGGATTTAGTTAATTTTTGATGATCATTCTTTAACAGAATGTCAATATATATAGGTAGACCGAAATCTTTTCAATTTGCAGATATAAACTAATAGTAAATTTTGTACAGGTAGAAAAGAATATTATTACAGAGATATACGTTTTCAGTAACTTCCCAAAATTTCCAATTATTAAAAAACAATTAAGAGTAACTTACCTCAGTGGTTATTAGCCTAAAATTATACTGATCATAAAAGAAATATGTATGAGAAAGCCTCGAATAATCTTTGTACCTGTTTACGTATACACACACACACACACATAAATATATCTATATATATACACATATACACATACACATATATACACACATATACTCACACCCTCACATATTAAAAGTTTTTTGGCTGTGTTAAGATTTACAGCTTTCTGCAGGTCTGATAATACTACAGGTAAATATATTATTAGAACAGCTAAGGAGAAAATTGTTTTTTAGTCATTAAACTTTGCCAAAGTTACATCTATGGGTGATTAAATTGCAAAGTTTTCCCTGGTGAATAGGGTGAATACATGCTTAAGACAGATAGCATATTCAAGATAAGCAAAATTCTTTACAGGAATCTTAGCAATGCTGAGGGACTATAAATTCAGAAAAAAAAATTCTACCGTTTGTGAAATGATATCACAAAGAGGGGAGGAAAACATAGTAACAAAACAGTGGACTAATTTAGGGCAAAGATTCTATGTATTAGCTTAAAGTGTGCAGTGCCACATCACTGGCACTCAGATTAAGGTGACTTACAATAAAATCTTACTCTTTTTAAACTATCACTGCACATAATAATTTATGCAATAGCAAAAGAAGTTAAAAAATTGTACAGAAATCCTTACAGAAAACAGAAGGTAGACTAGGATAAAAACGTTCTAAAAATAAACTTTCTAGTGCTTCCTCTTATGTAAGAGGTTTATGTTAGTCATAAGGTCTAGGAACCTATTTATATTGCTTTAGTATGGGTTAGTCAAAACCAAGCTAATCTACTAAAAATTACATTTTTAATGTGAAAAAAACAATGGAGATAGGTGGCTAGGTAAGCATAACAATGTTCAATTAAACTGTACTTTGAAAGTCAAGAAAAGTATATGCTTAAGACTAACCTAAAACCGTCTAGGCAAATGAAGGGAGAATCACTGAATTCTATAAAATGTTTCTGAACTTTTAACTTACATGAAAATACATACATCTATACTTGTGTATGTATTATACTAAAAAATGATCAGGTATTTGTAAATTAGTAAATTATAAGTATATGCACTTCTTTTAGAAAGTAAAACTGCTTATGTTCTTAAATAGGAAGTGATTTGAGACAGAATACTTTCATCCTGTCTGACTGGAAAAGAGAAATACAATCAAATGAGATTAAAAATGATTAAGTCCTATTCTCAATAAAAGAATATATTGTTATACACCCTTTTGTTACAGAACATTTTTTTTTTTGAGAGAAAAGGTTTATGAGGAAATGACCTATAATTATAAACAGGATTCCTTTTCTCTTAAAAATTAGCATTAGCAGGTATACAAATTAAATGAAAGTCGTGATCTATGCATTTCCAAACCTCAGAGATTTATCTAACCTGAATAAAAGAAAGTAATACTATGTTTCAAAACTATTTTAAAATATAAAGAAAAAGTGCTTAAAGGATTACACTGGAAATTTAGCACTGTTTTTGAAGGGGAAAAAGGCATATTGAGCCATATTGTCTATAAATACTTATTGCATAAACAAAGATAATTTGAGTGATGTTTTTAAAATCTTGCATACCGATAAAATCACAAACACGTTGAATCAGTTTTAGGATGAACAATAAAAGGCTTTGAAATAGCTGTAAAGATAAATTATAATAATTTAAAAACCTTTCAATATACAGTAGCTGTTTCTTTTGGGGTTAAAAACAACAACAAAATGTTATCAAGTCACTGTGTTAGCCTTAATATTTTAAACAGTAATATATTAGAATACACTATATCTATTGATGGCTCAGTCGTTAAGCGCTCATCAGCTAACCAAAAGGTTGTAGGTTTGAACCTCCAGCCGCTCTGCGGGAAAAAGATGTGGCAGTCTGCTTTCGTAAAAATTTACAGCCTCGGAAACCCTATGGGGCAGTTCTACTCTGTCCTATAGGGTCGCTATGAGTCAGAACTGACTCGATGGCAATAGGTTATACCTATTGATCCATTAAAGTGCAAGGCTTAAAAAGTGGTGTTAAAAAAAAATCACAAAAAATACTCATAATTTAAATTCTGAACAGGGAAACAAACCAAGTCAAAACAAAACAAACAAAAAACCTCAACAAATATAAACTTAATGGTTAAAAGTGAAATGCCAATTTCTAAGATAACACACACACACACACACCCATTATCACTGGATTCAGCTGTCACAGTGAATTCCTTATAGTTAAATAGTATCACAGACAGTAATGTATCTCTAAATTCTTTTCTCTTTGAAAGTCATACTATTTTTGGGGACTCATTTTTTAATCTGTGTTTATTCAGAAAAAGTTAAAGGGGTAGGTTTATATGCCCTTAAAGACTTTATCTTCGACTTTTTCTCTATAAAGTTAGATAGCGTTAGTAATGGTATGTTAAAACAGCAAACAATTTATAATAACAGATCAAAACTCTTTTTTAACTGTATTTTCAACTGAGAAAATCACAGTCAAGAACAAACAACATTATTTACCGCTCAGGTACTCTTTAAACTTCCACTGTGATGAAAAGTCCCCCCCACACGCCTCCACATACACATACACCTTGGCTTAAAACAGACCTCATGCCTAGAATGGCAGGTGTCCTTAAACAACATGTGGACTGGATCTTAGGTCCTGTTTAAAGTCTGTGAAATTTAGGCATTCAAATGTGCTGATCACTCTTAATAAAGGTAGAAAAAGTCAGTTGAAGTATTTGGTATTATTATTATTAGTATTCACTGCAAATTTTCTTACAGTAATATTCTCTGCTATAGTGTGGACTTTAGTCTTGTGCCAAAAAGCAGCATAGATTACAAAATCGTGGTTCAAATGATGATCAGTACTTAGCGGGTCCACAGCCAGAATGAAGGAATTTGCTTATAATAAATAAGTAGAAAAGGAGCAGGGTTTTATTTTAATATCCATTGCTAGAACTGAGCAATGGGTTTCTTGGTATTGCAGAGGCAGAAAGAAAGCTTTTCATAAGTTACAGCGATGGTAAGGATGGGGGACAGGTGGCTGTGGATGTGGGTGGCTAGCTAGCTTGCTAAAATACATATCTGAGCTCAACTGGAGCTATGCAACCTTGTTGTGTATCAGTTATTTGTAAAGGCTGACTGAACAAAATTCCCTTCATCATACAGGCACTGCTGTCTGTGCTACAATAATAAAGAAACACGCTGACAGATACAATGGCTTCAAGTGATAAGCAATCACCAGGAATCTGCAGTGATATTGTTGGTTGACTGAAAATGTTCTCTATTTCTCCAGATGATAGCTGTCCTTGAAAAAGCCATTCATTGCCTAAAAAATAAAAAAGTAAATTAAGACTGTGTAAGTCGACAGGTAGGAAATTAGAAATACTTTTTGTAGACTAGATTCATTCAATGAACAGATATTTACAGACAGACTCTAAGTGACAGGCACTGTGCTCTGTGCAAAGGACATAAGTAAGATTTAATGACTATCGATGAGAAGTTCCCAGTCTAACAATCTTTATTCAAATTATTAAAACTCTTCCTGTTTGAACACTGTAAAATAAATTATAAATTTCTTTCTACTGAAATCAAGTTGAATATTGCAAATATGGTCACAGATCTTTAATCTCCGAGGTTAAAATAAAACCTATTATAAGTTTTAAAAATGAACATAGCGGGACACTTGAAGAAATGGATCATTTTTACAAAATAGATAAAAGTCTTAAGGGATATAAAAAGAAAACTACAAAATAAACTTCATCTAAACCAAAAACTAAACCCATTGCCGTAGAGTTGATTCTGACTCACAGTGACCCTACAGGACAGAGTAGAACTGCCCTACAGGGTTTCCAAAGAGTGACTAGTGGATTCGAACTGCCAACCTTTTAGTTAGCAGCTGAGCTCTTTACCACTGTGCCACCAGGGCTCCAATGTACAAATCTATAATGACTCTGTAGTTAAGATGATGATGAATTACTGAACATCCAAAAGTAACAAAAAAAAAATAACACCAATATGTTTAGGTAACCTGCATTATTTTTTCCGTCAGCTCAATGTAAAAACTAAGAATTTTGTGTCCACCTTGTTTTAATACATAAAACTCTTTGGATACTTAAATATGTAGATTTTCTATATAATAAAAGTATAATAAACCATAAAAAATTTTAAGCCTCTGGGTATTAAAATTTTAAAAATGTTTTTATTCATCTCTCCGAAGGAACATGTGCGTCATATTGAGGAAACACATACTTACACTGACCTTCGGCTTCAGAGGGTAGCAGGTAACAAGAGCCAGTGTTTGGGAAATGTATCATGTGTTTCCTGACCACTTAAACAGAGCACACTGAACATACTCAAACAACTTATCGATGACTTGGGGCCATCTGTCCAAAAATGGACCATCTATTGAGTAGTGTTGACATTCCATTGTCTACTTTTTAGCTTTTCTATCTCTTTCCTTTGATCTCAGGCCAAGTCAACATTTTTGATGACAAGAGTACCTGCCTCTGTTGGCCCTTTCCAGGACTCCTTTAGGTTACTGCTTCAAATATTCGTTTGGTTGAAAAGAAAATTTAAGAAAAATGTGCTAAATACAAGTGAGGAAAAGCAAAAGGTGAGAATCTAAAGACTTAAGTGCAGAGCTTTGATTCAGGGGCTCTTTAACAATTCTTTTTAGTGTTCTTTGGTTTTCTTTCATTATTGTTGGTCTGGGGAGTATGTTTTATTTAATGTGTGATTTTGCTAGAAATCAGATTAGTGGAGAACATATTTTAAATCAAAACAAGACAATAAACTATTTTAATGTCCAATTACAGAAATAAAATACAGAAAATATTTCTTTAGATAGTTTTTACATACATTGTGTATGGGATTTGTGAAGTTAAAGCTGTAACATGCCAAGGGGGCTTTTATTTATTTGGCTTAAAACCTTCATATATGCTAACCACTTTAAGATTATAAAGACAAAAATTAATTAAAAATAAATGTTTGTCTCTAAATAACCAACCAGTAAGAGAAAATGTCCTTCAATCATAGGTGTATAAATATATTTTATAAAATAATTTTTAAAAAAATCTTAAATTATTAGGATTCTTTCCCAAAAGCTTATTTATTCCTATATAATAAAAATGGAGCGAATATTATATTTTCTCGACTACTTCACTTTCCTTTAATACTATGCCTGTTTTGTATTCCAAATGACTCAATATTAATTGTGTGTTTAACAATGCAGGGTTAAAACAAGCATGTTCACTTGTCAATATCCTATTTTAAAAATCAATATGTTCTTTAATTACACAGAGACAAATGAAATTAACAGTGATCTCTGATACAATGTTTTCGAAGTCAGTGGGCACAGACAAAACAGTCAAACTGGACTCTCGGACTTCCTCTGAACCTGCAGAGGGTGTGGAATGGCCAGGGTTTGAGTGTTACATGGCTCAGCCCTCTCGTGTGTGTGTGTGTGTGCGTGCGTGCGTGCGTGCGAGCGTGTGTGGCAGGGTAAGGCTGCGGGGAAGGTGCCTACAGGCTCAGTCAATCATCCCAGAGCTCCCCTCAAACTAACCCAGCAGCAATTCCTGGCTAGTCTACCAAGATCCCTGTCTTCTTGGGTTGGCTACCTGGTTGGTAGTTGCAGGACCAGAGCTGCTGTAACCGAGAAGGTAGAAGACATAAAGCCTGGATTTGGGTACCATACAAAAGAAAAGTATATGAGAGGGTGTCATGGTTTGAATTATGCCCCCCAAAAAATGTGTGTATCAGTTTGGCTGGGCCATGATTCCTGGTACTGTGTGGTGGAGGACACCAATTATATCTATGCTGCTAAATCAATGATCAATTCTTGGTCCTTATCTTACCTGAGCTATCAATAGCATTTGACACAGCTGTTCACTCTCTCCTCCTTCAAACACTTCGCTCCCAGGAAACTACACTCTCTTGGTTTTCCTCCTGCTAGCTTGCCCACTCTTCAGTCTTCTTGGCTGGTTCCTCCTTCTCTCCTTTATCTCTTTATGTTGGAGCACCCTAGAACAGTGCCGCTCAAAACTTAGTCCATGGACTGGTATGAATCCACAAACCATGATAAGTAAAGTCCAGAAACTGAGAGTAAGCACTTAGAAACTTTTATAGCAATTTGATTTTGTCATGACATCCAAATGTGTAATTGGCGGCTTTAAATTTTGCATGTTTTAAAAAAATATATTAATTTCATTACTAGGGCTCATGCCTCTGGAGCCAGTTTGAGACAGAAAAGCATATAATGGAAATAGCACTAAACTAAGAACTAGCAGAAGTGGTTCAAATTTCAGCTTTTGACCTAATTTAATACATGCACTTAGGCAAGTCACTTCATCTCTCTGAGCCGTTGTTGTTGTTAGGTGCAATCAAGTTGGTTCCGAATTATAGTGACCCTATATACAACAGAAGGAAACATTGCCTGGTCCTGTACCATCCTCACAATCATTGCTATGTTTGAGTCCATTGTTGCAGCCACTGTGTCAATCCATTGCATTGAGGGTCTTCCTCTTTTTTCACTGACCCTCTACTTTACCAAGCACGATGTCCTTCTCCAGGGACTGGTCCCTCCCAATAACATGTCCAAAGTGTGTGAGATGAAGTAATTTGAGCCATTAGTTTCCTTACTGGTAAAATAAGTGAGTTAGAATAGATGGTGTCTTGATGTCTTTCGGGGCTAATATTCAAGATCAGTCTGAGACTATAGCAGTCTGCCTCATGTGATGGACATGCCCAGTAGCAAATGGGGGAAATTATGATTGAATGGGCCTGGCTGGAGTTAAACGACATATAAGAGTTTTCCTTGTACCCTCAACCCTATGAGGGAAAACGGAACGGCGTCTTAAACAAAACATCAGACACTTGGAAAAAAAAGAAAATTGTTTTTTGTTTTTGTTTTGCAAATCATGACTCCTTCTAGCCTTTGTAAAAGGTCTCACACAAATAGCTCTTATCACACCACCAGTATTCCCAAAATATTATTTCAGGAGTATCTGACAGCCTTGATGCTCCTTCAATATTTTCCCAAATCAGTGCGCTGATGCTGAAATTTTCCTTTAGCATTTAATCCTTCTAGTTTAAAATGCTGACTTCTGTGAAAACACTTAGCGAATGAAGGGCCTGAAAGATTTAGAGGGAAAGAGAGGAATGCATAAAGGTAAAAGGTGTTAAATAATGACGCTCCACTTTATTTTTCCTTAGACTCTTCAACTCTAAGCAGTTCTTTTTGGGAACAAGATAATGAAGAACAAGATTAGAATAAAGGAAGAGATACAGGTAAGTCCATCTTCCAAGAAACAGTGCTAACGACTGACACGTACTGTGGGTGAGTTACACTGTTCTTTAATAAAAAGGAGGCAAGAATCTCAAAGACTAAAGAAAGCTGCCAAAGTGGGGTTACATGTGGATTCATTTTTCATATAATCTCCCTCAAATGCTGCCCAACTATAGAGTAAAAACATCACACAACAAATGAGAAAAATCACTAGAATAAACATCAAAAGACCTTATGGGATGTTTACACTTGCAAGATTATAATCATACCTTCAGCTGTTAGAAACCAGCAACTGGGTACTTCTTTGGTTAGTTTTGTTCCTGATGGGAGGTCTAATCTTAGCTTGAACTGAAGAGTCTGGCCCGGAGAAGCAGTCACTGGGGAAAGACTAATCCTTGGAGCTGATTTAGGCAGTTTGGGTAATGTCTTCTGTTTGTATAGTAGGAATCGGCCATCTACCACAGAATTTTCAGATTTGATTACAGGGAGCTACAAAATAAGAAATTCTGTTATTAAAGAACAAACACTTTATAGTAACTGCAGAGTGAGAGCTTATTTTTAGACTTCAGTAGAAAATTAAAAGTTCTATGGCAATGAAACTTAACTACCATTCTAGTCTAAACTAGAATGTGTTCAGTTAGATGTCCTCAAAATAATTTTGTAGGTACACAAAAAATTTCACCTGGCAAAAAGATTATCAACACAAATGAGGGAGAATTAAATTAATTGTCCAATATGTTTACAGATGATAAACTTTATCAATTTAAATGCAGTGTATATAATATACACTCTCATCATTTTCATTGCCAAGATGTCACACACACTATATCAGAGATCTTTGTCAAGAGAAATGACACCTGTGATGGTAATCTGTGCTTTTCAATTTAAAATATATACCTTAGGAATTCCTAGAATTTTAGAAAAAAAAAATTCTTGCAGAGATATCTTGTGATGGACATTTCTCCTCTAAAATTCTACTACAGACCACGTCCGTATCTTTAAAAATTGGCTAGAATTTATTTGAGTTTCTTCCACTCTAATTTTCAATGTCTTGAAAATGTGGCTTCTAGAGCTTCCTTTAGAAGATTATTTGTTAATGGATTCACCACAGGAAATTAAGATTACACACTGACTTAAGGAATATTAAAAAAAAAAAATAACACCCCAACCCACATAGTATGTGTGAGTAGTGTGTGTCAATACATTTAAAAACAGATCTGAGTCCCTGTCTGCGCGTTTTTTTTGAGGTTCTCCAACTTCCAGCATCTTTCTCAAACTCTCAGCACAGATGAAACTTTTAAGTATAACAAGACATCCTGAAAGTAGTCCTGTTGGTCAAATTATCAAAGTACATGTCATAAGCATTCACTTAGTACTCTACCTACACGTAGCAATTTCACCACTGGTGATGGCCTAACCAAAAATGCCTCTGTCAGTGCCGTGAGAATCTTAATTCATTCTTAAGATGATACCGTTTAACTTATACTCTAAGATTACTCACCACAGAAATTGTTTTTGTTTCTAAATCCATCACTTTAATTTGATGATTATTCGTGTCTGCTACATATAATAACCGACCATTCTCTCCAATACACAAGCCTCCTGGCTCATTAAAAGTTGACTCTGTAAAGCTGGAACTGATATTACTTGCATCTCCTGTTCCTGCTAATGTTAAACAGTTTTTTGTTTTTGGATCTACAACTTTAATCTAAAGAAGAGAGAAAAAAATATATATCTGGTCAATCTCATGTTTGTAGTATGGAAGAGTGTACTATGAAGCAGGCTAGAGAATCTCTGACTGCCATTACTAGCCCTAATAAATCTTAGAATACGCATTTCCATAATTTCTTGAAAAAGTCAAACATTCAAATTACCGTCTAGGGAGAGATACTCCATCCCAAGAGCTAAAAGCTATGTAAAATCACTAGTTACATCTTGTGTTCCAGAAACAGTCTTTGATGGGATTATTTCTGGGACTTTGTACTTATTTTAAAACTTTAGTTCCTCTTCACAATGGGACACTCTTTCATAACTGAACTGACTTTTTACTCATGAACATCTAACATTGGCTGAGGATTTGCTACTTTTGTTAAACTTAATCATTCCCTGTCGCACCTCAATTATATTAAACGTACGGTCTCCCATCACAAAGTAATTAACATTATTTTCCACTGATTTTTCTAAAAAAGAAAAATGCAATAAAAACTGAAACAACTAACAGACAATGCAGTGCAGACAAAAACAGAAATGCTTATGAAAATGGAATTATTTGCTAACAGGCAACGCAACTGTACAACAGCTCAAACGTGCTCAATTGTTAGTTAACATTTCATTTCCCTGTTATTAGCCTTCTTCTTACTTAGCGAATATGTTATTAAGCAGCTTTGACGGGCTGAAATTCCCAACTATTGCCTATCGCCACTGGGAATTTGTTTTTTTCCCCAGTTCAGAGTACCATCATCACCTCTGTGCTATGGAAGGACCCAGAAAAGAACAGAATAAGCTTGTATACAGTTGTCAAAGACTGTTAATCCTCTCTAAATTCTAGAGTGGCAGTTGTAGGAGGCTCCCACAGATCTTTCAGCATTTTAAATACCACCCATGAAAAACCGGGTGTTATATAATTCTGTCAAGACTCACCTTGTGATTGTAGGAGTCTGCCACATAAAGTAAACTCTTTTTCTTGTCCCAAGTAACTCCAAGTGGGTGCTGAAGCTTTGCATTGATTCCTACTCCATCAACATCACCAAAGGCAAATAAATTCTTTTATTTTTTATTTTTTAAAAGAAAGAAACAACATTTATTAGAATTTTTACAGTGCTTTGTTAAGGTATAAAGGGAAACTTTAAATTGTTGTATATGCTATTTAAGTTAAGGGAGAAGGGTCGATTCTCATACCCATAGGGCTGGGGACTTGAATCAAAAGACTAGAAAAAAATGATAGAATTTTAAACTTGTATTAAGCTGTAATGCTTACTAGTTTTATTCGCAATAGTCACACATCTGGTCAGGAACACATCAAGTCTGCTAGTCTGGTGCTTTTTCCACTCCACTGACAAATATCTGAATTATATTTTTCTTTTCTCTCCAGTAATATTTTATCCTTCCTTTCTCCCTGAAGCATTAACACATGTAGCCAAGTAGAATCAATTTACTTTTCTTAGATGGTTTTATTACTGTGTTTCTATATATTCACATTTCCTTTGGTCTGACTTCCATTTTAATTTGTAAGGTCAAGAGCTCTCTCTCCTAAATTTTTATTAATTCTCCACATTTCAGGAGACTGAGCTTGCTGAGTGTCTGGGCAAACCGTGTAAGTGATTTTCATTACCATGGGGTCTCTTTCTCCTCCTACGAGGTGCTTCACTGCTCCATCTTTTAGCGAGACGGTTCTCACTGTACTGCTCTCACTATCTGCTACGAACAGGCAGCTCCAGGGTTCTTCAGAAGCCAGAGAAAGACCTGAAGGTTGGGCAAAACCTGCCTTGTGAGGATAGGCATTGTTTCGATTCTCTTCATTCCCACTTCCAGCAAATCGAACGCAGGTGTCTTTTTTTAACTCACTACAAAAAGACAAGTTCATAGATAGAGTCAATACTGGTATACTGTATCCAATTTAGTTACACTGTACAAGTCAGCTTTAACTGTAGCTTTTTTTTTTTTCTTAATCATTAACTTATTTATCCACTGGGTGGGCCCTACTTTTCTTTGATGTACACAAAACTAAACCATTCTCAAAGGCCAGACAGAAAATCTCCAACAGGGTCAGAATTATAAGATGAGAATAATGGTCAGATCACCACTGGGATAGTTTTTTTTTTCCCTCCAAATGGTCAGATGTAAGTATAGCTTGATCTCACCTTAATTTCTTGAATTTTTCTTGGCTTCATGCAATATTAGGTTCTGAAAGAGAATTTAGAGCTTATCTAGTTCTTGATAGTTTAAAGTTTAAATTTCCATTAACAATTTTTTTTGGTTTGTTTTATTCCATATAAGTAAAGACTAGCAAAAGGAATTTAAAAATTCATTTTGCAAGAGCCGAGTCAGGCATTACTCATTTTAAGAAAATGATACAGGATTATGCTGCTCCAACTAAATGATTGTATATATCAATTTCTTATCTATACTAGGGAAATTTCTGTCTAACGGACTGCTGCAATAATTCTTTTTGTAATGCATAGGAAGTTTTATACCTTGGTTTCTTTTAAAAAATAGTTTACACCAAAGGGATTGCAAGGAAGATATGGTAGTGTCTCGTGTTGAGGGAAGGGAAGAAGCTGACTTAGGATGTCATGTAATGAGAGCTTGTATGTATATCATTTCCAAATAGGGCACAGCATGCAAATGACCATCAATCACGTATTGGTTAATATATTCCCAATGCTAAATTAGGTAGGGGGTGGAGGATGGGGGCAAAGGGCAGAGAAATGTTTAAAATATGCCCAATTACTAAAGGAACTTATAAAAGTAATCTACACGGAGAAATGTGTATAATAACTAATCCAGAAAACAAATAAATTAAAAGGTAATTACTATGAGAAATTTTAACACTTAAAAAAAAAGATTTCCCTTCATTAACTAAGAGGTAGAAAGAATGGGAAGAAACAGTAACTTCTAAAATATTAGGAGTCATTACCACCTGAAGATCAATAATAAATAAAGATAAAGCATCCTTAAAATTATGATGCAGGTCAATGTGATCTGACTGATTAGATTTCTAATATGAATGAAGGGGTCGACTCTACTTATTAGCAAATTGAGGCAGTTCTTCACCATGTATGTCCAAAACAGACAGCACAGAGGACAGCATCTTCTGACCACCCATCACTTCTGTTTTGCTGTTTATAATAATGCCTCACATAGAATGTTATTGGTGATCTCACTGTTTGGGCTACTATCATATCTTGCTTGGATAGTAGCAACAGTCTCCTGACTGATAGCTCTGTCTCTAGTCTGATCCCACTCTGAATACCACCAGTGTTCTTTCAAAAACACAAATCTAATCATATCACTTCCCAGCTTAAAACCTTTCTATAAAGGCTTGTAGAAAAAATGTCTAAACCTCTTAGGACTCACAAGGCCCTATGTAAGCTGACTTCAACTGACATCACAGGTGTCATCTCTTGCCTGGAAAATCTCCACCTCTTCCTTTCTAACTCCTACTCCTCTACCAAGTCTCAGTTTAGTAGCCTTTTCCAGGAAGCCTCCCTTAAACCTCAAATCTTATTGATACTAGATATTCCTCTTATTTATATAAGGGGCAATTTCAATTGAAAGGACTACTGCAGTGATCCCTTTAACACGTAACACCTATACTTCCCACCTATTCTTAAACTGTTTGGTGATCTGATTCTTCTTGAGAACAGCAGTCACATCTTTCCATTTTAATCTTAACGTAACGAACATATTATATAATTCCTACTGCCTAGCATAGCACCTAGCATATAGTATGTTTAATAAATACTTGTTAAATAAACGACTAAATGTTGCAAAACATCATATAAATGTTTCAAAGCAACACACACACACTATTTGGATTATCTGATACATGGATTATCTATACAACTGCTCCTTTCTACCAATGAAGGTGACTGAGATGACCAGCACTTATTTTCTACGGTGATTTGACAGCCTTTATGGTCATGACTTGCATTCATTTTTATTCAACAAACCTTTACTGAGCTCCACTATGCTGTGCTAGGAACAGGGGACACAAAAATGGATTAAGACAAGCTCCTTTCCTATAAGAGGCTATCTAGTAGGAAAAAAGAGTTATGTAAACAAATAACTGCAACCCAGGAGAGAGACAGCAAGAGACAGAGAGAGCACCAGAGAGACGGTGAGGTCACAGAGAAAAGTATCGTCAGTTCTACATAACGTTTTCACATAACAGCCTGGTCTCTGGAACCTAATCATGTCGATAAGTGAGGAGTGGGTGCATTTCCAGTTCTCTTTCTGGATGCTCAGTAGCTTGCTCTTCCTAGGCCCCTTGAAGTTAGGTGTGGCCATGATATTTGCTTTGGCTGATGAAATGTAAGAAGTGACACGTTACTTCTGAGTAGACGCTTTAAGAGCCACTCTTTCCTCTTTCTCTCTGCCAGGATGACTGACAAAGCTCCAGATGGTGGCTGCTTCATCAGCCTACACGGCAGAGTAGTGCCCTCCAGCAAACCTATGTGAGTGAGCTAGGAATAAACTTCGTTGTTTTAAGCCACCGAGCACCTGGGCTGCTCGGTATGGCCTATCCTGACTAGCACAGTGGGTGTTGCTAGGACACTGACTTTGGGAAAGGGAATTCTGTGAACTCCAAGTAGTGAAGTAATGCTTTGTGGTTAAAGTACAAGATGAAGACCTTTCATTAACCCAAAGACAGATGTTGCCACTTACTTTTTCTTTGGTAGTTTGCCAGAGTCCAACAGGAGTGCCCATATCTGATGAGTCCCTGCCATGGCGATCCACAGAATGTCATTTCTTTGAACCTCTGAACCTTTACCAAAATAAACAGTAGTTACTAGAAACATATCTGGTAAATACAAAAACTCAAACTGTTTCAGAAATTTAAAATTTGAGAAGGCAGCAATGTGTTTATAAATCATCTAACGGGAAAATAAAAATATTAGCAATGCTCTAAGTTGTTTTTGGAATTTTCCATTCTCCTTGTGAAAAATTTACTTCATTAGACTTGTAATTCATGTGTAAGGATTTCAAGGCAAAAGCGTCAGGTAATAAAGTATGAGCATTTAGTTGGTCTTTTTCTGTTTACTTATTTTCTCTATAAGCCTTGAACAATGAGAAAAAGCACAGGAGCCAGGTGTTTGGGATTCTATGTGATGATGATTCTATATGCTGATATGTGATGATGATAGTAATAATGATAACCACCCAGAACACTTCCTATGCATAAGGCACTGAGCTAAGCACTATACATGGATTATTTTCCTTAAATAACAACCTTAAGAAGTTTTATAATAATCATCTCCATTTTATAGATAAAGAAACAAATTCAAAGAGGTTAAATGATTTGCTAACATTCACACAACTAGTAAGTAGGCGACAGATCTGGGCTGTGAATCCATCCACGAATTTAACTCCAGATTATTAGTATTCTGATTGGAATGAAAGAACTACAGAAGCGAGCTCGTGCTCTTCTGCCCAATTCTCTGTTGGCCCCTTCTGTTCTTCCTCCCTCTGTCTCTGCCCCATGGACTTAGCTCTGGCATCAAGTACTTAAGTGTATTTTCAGGTGTATTCAGAAATCACGATGATCGAATCAAAGTAATCATAGCTTCCTACTCTAGGATGTGTAGCCCGGTTCACCCCCTCTGTCCTTCCCTCCCCATGCTGCATCAAGTTGGCTCTGACTCATGGTGATCTTATGTGTAACAGAACAAAACGCTGCCCAGTCCTGTGCCATATTCATGATCACTGGTATGCTGAAGTCCACTGTGGTGGTGGCTATCCATCCCACTGAGGCTTTCCCTCCTTTTCAGTGGACCATATTATAGAGGTCCTTTAAACACCAGACTAAGAAGTTTGGGTGTTGTTCTCCAAGACAGTAGGAGCTATGGAGGCTTTTTAAAAGGTAAGTAATCTCACCAGAATCAAGCTTAAGGCAGTTGAGAAAAAAAAGAAAAAAAGATTATCAGACTTCTGTTGTCATGAAACATGAACCATTTTTTATCAGTGTGGTCAGATCAGCTAGGACTGACTCTTGAACAATCTGGAGACTCTGTAATTGGGAGGAGTCCCTGGGTCAGTGTGCTCAGCTACTAAGTGAAAGGTTGGAAGTTTGAGTCAGGGCTTTGAACCAGTTCATTCTGGTTCTGCCCCTGTTGATAATCTGCATTTCCATTACAGATATACTGAATCAGAATCTACATTTTAACAAGATCTGTAAGAATCACCCAGAGATCTTGTTAAAATGTAAACTCTGATTCAGTATATCTGGGGTAGAAATACAAATTCTCAGCAGGGGGCCAAATCAGAATAAACCAGTTTGAAGCCCTGGTTCGAGTCCACACAGAGGTGCCTCAGAAGAAAGGCCTAATGATCTACTTCTGAAAAATGTGCCCCTGAAAAACCGACAGAGCACAGTTCTATTCTGACACACAGAGGTTCACTATAAAGGTCAGCAGGAAGTGACTCAAGGGCAACTGGTTTTAACCTGACTAAAAAAATCTTATCAACACCAAGTCAATGGGATAATATAGTATAAGAATCTCCTCTCAAATTTTAGGTATAAAAATATTATAATTTCTTGCATTTAAAAAAACTAAAAATACACTAATGACATTTTATAAAATATATTCCTCCAAAAATGTCTGTATCATATCATTTTTAAAGGAGGATGATTTTAATGGTATTTCATAGCATTTATTAATGGAAGTGAGAGAAGCCTATTATCTAAGCACTTATCTAAGCACTGAAGATTACCAGGCTAGCATACTAAATAGCTGAATTTCAACCTTAAAGGTCGTGTGAGAACAGTTAAACTTCTATCTAAGGAAAATGATGATTAAAGGGCCAAGGAAGGTTAATGGGATTGGGACACATTATCCTTTCTATAAATGAATCTAAATCAGGTAAATTCTAAAGTGCACGGCAGACTGGCAGGGTTTTGACCTTTACGATAAAAAACAAAAACTAAAACAAGCAAAAAAAACCTCTCAGGTGACTGTCTGGCATATGAGAAGAATCAGCACAGACCTGACATACATTTTGGCAACATGGCAAAGTTTCTGCTGAAAAACATATGAATTTATAGCAGTTAGTAATTATTTTCAGTGCAAAATGAAGTTCTGACTACATTTAGAGTGATAATCAAAAAGAAGAATGAAAAAAGAAGAAACAATCACTTTTGTAAAAAATTACTTTGGGTTATTTATTTTTACGTCTTTATCCTGAAATGGCACAATCAGGATAAATATTCAGGTGCTATTTATAATATATACACGCATACATTCACCTATAACATGTATATTTTTAATAATCAGAAGTATTTCCAAGTCCCCTTCCCCAATCCATTCTTGATGTTGTTCATTAAACTCGGTCCCTTGTTAGGATGTATATTCAACTCTGTATTTGTCCTTGTAATTTTTCATTCCTTTTCCTTTTTTTTTTTAATGCTTATTGTTTATAGATTAATGCTTATAGCTTTTTAATTAAATATGCATACAGAGGGACACGTGTAAGTTTAAAGATAGTAACTAAACACCCATGTGCACATCACCAGTTTAAGACATCATTTGAAACCCCTGTGCATCTCTCCATGATCATATCCCTCTCCTCTTCGCAGAAAGAATCACCTGTTTAAAATCAGTGTTTTTCATGCTTCACTTTTACCATGTCTGGATGGATCGCTCAAATTTTATTTAGTCATGCATGCTACTGAATATTCTATAAAATAAATCATATTATAAATTTCTTCTGTATCCTCCTTTTTTCAGATTCCTTCTGATATTTGTCCATGCTTCTGGGTGTAGCTGTGGTCCATTCATTTGCACTGGAGAGTGGCCCATTGTACAAACATATCACAATACCTAATCTATTTTTCATATTTTCCTTGATAATTCCATATTCTCTCAAATTCCTAACTATAGTAGATTTCAGAAGTATTCTATAAAATGTGTTAAGTATTAAAAAAAAGTGCTTAAAAGAAAAACAATTTTTCTCAGCCACATTCCCCTTCAAATTCTGTTTATTTGCACATCTGTTTATGCCAGTTGTATAGTTATGTAATTTAAGTACTATACGAACCAATAGTTCATGCATGCAGAAATATGAATGCAAAAAGAAAGCTGTTTCTATGTAAACAAAGCTGTACTTTGGAAAGAATGAGTTAAAAGAAATTCATAAAAACCTAGTGGCATCAGCCCTCAGCTCCTTTCAGGTGTTTTTAAATTCTCACCACACTTTAAGGAAATCAAAACAACACATTTTTGGTGGTGCAAGAAAGACTGTCAGGGGCTCTCTTAAAGAACAGGCTTTTGTCCTACCTGAAAAGATTTGCTCAAATGTACATTTTTATGTCTTAAAAATATTTTTAGATTCTTTATGATTACCAGTTATAATAGATGATTTTCTATCTGGATTAATTATCAGGCCCAATCACTTTAATACTGTACTTATTTACTTCCATTTTTCCTTCACAAAGGATTCAGGTAGCTTACAAAGAAACAAACCCTAATGATGATAAATAAAATTTAAAGAAAACTGAAGCATAAGGTAATTAGGGGTGTAAAAGAAGGATACAACCATATTAATATAAAAAAACAAATGTTATGTTAACCATTATACTCTGCGAAAGATAAATGTGTCTCTAAGTTTCCCAGCAGCCAATATAACAATGTAAAATAATCAGTTATGATAGTCAAAATATCCAGAAGCTTAAAAACAAACCTGATGCTCAGGAAAAAGTATAGTAATCTGTAACACACAGACCAGAAAATAATTTTTACAGTAGATAATCAGAGAGGTCATTTATAATGTAGTAACTGAAACCACCAGCAAGTTCTTATAGTCAAAACAGTAACAAGTTTCATAGGGCTGTGTTTTGGCGAAGTAAATAATATGAAACACACACACACATAAATATAAATGAATGTAATATATGTTTGTGTGCTGATATATTTTTCAATGAATGACATCATGCCAGAATAGTTTAATAAAAATAATTGTAAGGAGTGCAAATATTCTATGATCCAGTTTCCCCATTCTCTGGCAATATACATTAATGCAGAATTTGATTTTAGTGTAATCTGAAGCAGTGGTTCTTAAAATTTTAGGGGGTAACATACCACTTTGAAAATTGATGAAAGCTATGCAACATTTCCCCCAATCTTAGATAGAATTTCTGGGAAGTTTATGTACCTCATAAAGCCTAACTATGAATACCTTTGGCACGTAACTCTTAGACTAGAATAGTCATTGTGATTGTAGATCCTTCATACAGTGCTTGAAAAACATTTCTTTTAGCCAGCATTCTGAAAGGCATTGAGCTGAAGTGCATTCAAGATTACTCTTCCTGCCAAACACCTGGAATGAAGATATTTTAAGTTGCAAGTTAAATGTGGAGCCATATGCTTTTAATGATCTGTTGAGCTGAGGTAGGACTCACTTCCTTCATTGAAAACTGAGGAGCTTAATAAAGACACAAGTCTCGACTAGCATGGCACTCCAGGTAGAGCCAATAGAGCCAAGATTTTCCTTGTAAAGAATTCTGGGTGCATTCTCAATACAGAGTTAAACAACCAGAAATTCCATGCCATAAAATATAACCGAAAAAACTGTAGCCTAGAAAAATTTTAAAGTCCTCTTTGGCCATTAAATAAATCCAATCCAGTAAAGTACATCTTGTCCCTAAGCAATGTAAATTCTAATATACATTAGATTGAATTATTGGTCTCAATTCTTCACTCGTCTGTAGTAATACAGTAAAACCTGTGAAAGCTGGAACCTGTGTAATGTGGAAACCTATCAGAGAAGGAAAACTCAAATATTTTCTACCAAATGGAGAGACAGAAGAGTGGCAAGACTGTACCCTGTGAAAGGTGGAAAACTTTTGAGACACAGAAAAATAAGGTAGCATCGGCGTGTTCCAGCTCTCACTGTATTATACATCCACATCCTTGCCATGGCTTCATCATTTGAGCTTGGTTATATCATTTGCTTTAATAACAGTATACAGGCTGACATGACATGAGCAAAGGCTTAAAGTGCGTGCAGCTGGGCTTACCCTCTTGTGCTCCTGCCTTCTGCCAAGAAAACACACCTCAGCTACTGGTCCAAGGAGGATGAGAAACACATGGAGCAGATCCGAACCCAACAACCAGCTTGAAGTTATGCCTAGGCTAGCTCAGCCTTGACCAGCTGAACCCCAACCCCGTATGTGAGGGAGAAAGAAAAGTTTCGGTTTGTATGAGTTTTGGTATGATTTCTCATGCAGCATTATTGTGGTTATTGCTGACAGGTACAGTAAATACAGGCTGTAAGTTGCAAAATGTAAATATCCATAACTAAATTGCTATATAGACTATCAGCTATAAAGCACTAAAGGCTTACATATTAGGGCAGAATTTTCTTTTTTCCTTGAGAGGGAGTAACAGAATACAAAAGTAACAATTCTCACCTACGCTGACTATTTTGGAGCCCTGGGGGCACAGCGGTTAAGCATTCGGCTGCTAACCAAAAGGTTGGCAGTTCGAATCCACCAGCTGCTCCTTGGAAATCCTATGGGACAGTTCTGCTCTGTCCTACAGGGTCGCTCTGAGTCAGAACTGACTCAGTGGCAGCGCGTTTGGTCTGGTTTTGGTTGACTATTTTACTGACATGTTTGAGACTGTTTTTCCATCTGTAAGATTTACGCTCAAATAGCTCAGTGGTGTACCAAAGGCAGGGTGGCAGGAGCACTGAGTCCTGGTGGGGATGGATATTTTTAACTCTAAAGTTGTTTAGAATTGCTGGTGCATGGTAATAAAGAGCCGACTGAGTTTTAATTGGTCTTATTACTGTTTTTAATTCTCTACATAGACTGTAACTGTTTATTTCATGTACCTGGGATGCACTGCTCCCACTGCCACCCTGTGCCCCCTGGTGAGCAACTGAAATAACTCATCATTATTTAGAACATAGAATTCCAAAGATGGAATTCTCAAAACATAACTTACGCAAAATACCTGAGCTAAATACATAAAGTTCAGGTAGTGCTAGAAGTTCATTAGTTTATTTTATGAATATTAAAAGCTTGATAAAAGTTAATCGGAATGAAAAAAATTAAGGTCTTTGAATTATAACCAAGTTGGCATCATAATAGAAGAATTATCTCAAATGTAAAACCATTTAACTAAGCTGGTGCTTATTCACTCTCTAAATACATTAAGACCATATAAACCACTTAGTCCCAAATTCCATTTTCAATGTATTATACTGACTTTCTTGATTCATTAACCTCGTTAAAGATCTGTAGATAATAACCACCTCAGTATTGCTGAGGGCCAAAGAAAAATAACAGCACAAATCCTCCTGCATTGTCTTTTATTCAATTAATAAAGGTAGTAAAGATCACAAAGATAAGTCTCAATTGTTACCAGTATAATTCAGTAGGGTAGTGTTTTTTTTTTTTTAATTGCTGAAAAGCAGCCATCATTTCAAAACAAATTCTACAAATTAGAGTAAATAAGGACACTGTTATATGGTATAGTTCATGAACAACTTTTGAAGTTTTGAAACTATAGTTCTTTCAAAGTAAAGATACTTAGAATTACATTAAATAGAAGTTGAGCTAAGATGAAATTCTTTAAATTACTATCTTGTATATAAAATATAATATGTAATATTATATATAGAAATATACACTCTCTGTTGGGTATATTACTGCTGTCTTTAATTTGTTTTAACAAAATTAACAAATCCCAACCCACAGGTATAAGAGTATGAAATAACAAGCAATAAAATCAATCCAAATGAATGTCCCAAGAAAACTTCTAAAATCTTACTTTTATTAAGAAAAGTTTACTTATATTTAAAAATAGAAGTTTCCATACCTGATGTTCCAAAAACTACATCCCAAGGGGAACTGATGGGCTGTTGTTCTCCTTTGGCTCCGCCGTCTTTATCTGTACCTTGAATTCCAATGCCAGCTACAGTGCTCACGATCTCAGCTTCTAGGTCAATCTACAGAAATTTAATGAATGTTTTATGCAGTGCATGCTACTTTTGCTTTTTTTCCTTTGGTATATATCTGAATATTTCCAACAGAACACATATATGTGCAACACAGTGTTTTTTAGAAAGACTATTCAACTATACGGTAGGCTTCTTGTTATTTAAATTCACACAACCCAGTCACTCTCATTACCCTGCCTATCCATTCCCCACTTGCCTCCACCAGCACTGGTGCTGATCTCATGCTAACTATAAAATACTTTAAGAGAAACTGGAAATTTGAAATTTTAAAATACTATCTAGCAAAATGCATGTTTCATAAAAGTATACATATTTCAATTATGCTTGGTATGACAAAACAACAACAGCTATAATAAGCAGCAACAATAAACTCGAGGGGAGGGTAATCCCATTTCCAAAGTTGCTACACATTATAATATTCAAAATCCTAGTTTTCAAAAAAAGAAAAAAAAATTACAAGGCATGCAAAGAAACAAAGTATGGCCCATTCACAGGGGGAAAAAATTAATAGAAATTGTCTCTGAAGAAGCCCAAATACTGAACTTACTAGACAAACACTTTAACTATTAAAATATGCTCAAAGATGTAAAGGAAATCATGTACAAAGCACTAAAAGAAACCATGAAAACATGATCCTTCTGTATGCTGTCTACAAGAGCCTTACTTTAGATCCAAAGACAAAGACATAATAATGGAAAAATACATTCCATGCAAGCAGTGACCAAAACACAGCTGGAATGGCTAAACTAGTAACAGACAAAATATACTTTAAGACAAAAATTATAATAAGACACAAGAAGGAAATTATATAACGATAAAAGGGTCAATCCATCAAGAAGCTATAATAATTATAAATATATACACACCTAACAACAGAGTCCCAAAATACATGAAGCTGACAAACTTGAAACAGACAGGTCAACAATAATAGTTAGAGATTTAACCATCCCACTTTCAGTAATGGATAGAACACCTAGACAAAAGATAACAAAATAGAAGACCTGAACAGCACTACATACTATGAGTCGGAATTGACTCGACAGCAATGGGTTTGGTTATTTATTTGTTTTATATACCGACTAGCATACCATACAACAGCAGAATACATACTCAAGTGCATATGCAACATTCTCCAGGACAGACCACATGTTAGGGCACAAAAGAAATCTCAAATGAATTTAAAAAGCATAAAATCATACAAAGTATCTTCTCCAACTACAATGGAATGAAACTAGAAATCAGTACCAGAAGGAAAACTGGAAATTATACACACACTTTTAAACAACCAACGAGTCAAAGAAATCACAGGAAAATTAGAAAATAATTTGAAATGAATGAAAATGAAAACACAACATACGAAAAATCATGGGATCCAGGGAAAGCAGTGCTTATAGGGAAGTTTATAGCTATAAATGCCTGCATTAAAAAATAAGAACGATCTCAAATCAACAGCCTAACCTTTTACCTGTCAGAACTAGAAAATGAAGAGCAAACTAAACTCAAAGTAAGTAGAAGGAAGGAAATAACAAAGATTAGGGTGGAGATAAAGGAAATAGAGACCAGAAAAAAAGAGAATTAATGAAATCAAAAGTTGGTTCTTCGAAAAGATCACTAAAATTGATAAACCTTTAGCTAGACAGACCAGGAAAAAAAGACAGAAGGCTAAAATTACTAAAATGAGACACAAAAGAGGCAACATTACTTACAGATATAAAAAGGATTTAAGAGAATACTATGAACAATTATGTGCCGACAAATTAGACAATCTAGATGAAACGGACAAATTCCTAGAAACATACAAACTACCAAAACTGACTCACACAGAAAATCTGAACAGATCTCTAACAAGTAGAGATTAAATTAGTAATTAAAAAACTTCCAACAAAACAAAGCCCAAGCCCAGATGGCTTTACTTGTGAATTCTACCAAACACTTAAAGAATTAACACCAATCCTTCTCAAATTTATCCAAAAAAATAGAAGAGGAAGAAAAACTTATAGAGACAGAAAGTAAATTAGGGGTTGCCTAGGTCTGGGAGTAGGTAGGAATGGGGATTAACTGTAATTGGGCATGAGGGTTCCTGTTGAGGAGCACTGGATGATTAGACAAAGGAGTGTGAATCAAAGGATTAAAAAAATTACAACTACAGGCTTGACACACAGAAAAACAAGATATTTATGAATAAAATTAAAGCAAATACCTCCGGAAAAAGGTGACTAAAGATGCTTTGAGATCGTGATCATTACCCTAACTTCAAACATTTAATGTAGCAAATAAATAAGTTTTTCTGATTAGAAGTACTATAACTTTTAATTTCAAATGGAAAATTACCTTTCTTATAAGGTGGTTTTCAGTATCTGCCACGTATATCACATTATTCATTATGGCTACACCCTGTGGTGAATTAAAAGTTGACTCTGAAAATGTTCCATCTTTTCTTCCAGGGTTAGGTCCTAAAAGGCAATACAAAAAATTACACATTCAAAAAGTAATCACAAAGAAAAACCAAAAACATAAGATTTGTACTCAATGCTGGGATTTTAATATAAATAATACTTCTATCTAAAAACTAAAACGTTTCTCAAGATACCTATTTTTCTCAAATGTGACTTTTACTATAATGATAGAGCTTACTGTATAATGGTTACTAGTGGACTTAAGTGTTGTTGAGTTGGTTCCAACTCAGAGAGATCCTATGGACAGAAGGAAAAACTGCCTGGTCCTGCTCCATCTTCACAATCATTGTTATGTTTGAGCCAATTGTTGCAGCCACTGTGTCAATCCATATCGTTGACGGTCTTCCTCTTTTTCATTGACCCTCTACTTTACCAAGCACAATGTCTGTCTCCAGGGACTGGTGCCTCCCGATAACATGTCCAAAGCATGTCTTGACATGCTTGCTTTCAAGGGGCACTCTGGCTGTACTTCTTCCAAGACAGAATTATTTGTTCTTCTGGCAGTCCAAGGTATATTCAGTATTCTTTGACAGCACCATAATTCAAAGGCATCAATGATTCTTTGGACTTCCTTACTCATAGTCCAGCTTTCACATGCATATGAGGCAATTGAAAGTATCATGGCTTGGGTCAGGAGCATCGCAGTCCTCAAACCAACATGTTTGCTTTTTAACAATTTAAAGAGGTCTTTTGCAGCAGATTTGCCCAGTGCAATGTCATTTGATTTCTTGATTGCTGCTTCCATGGGTGTTGATTGTGGATCCAAGTAAAACGAAATCCTTAACAATGTCAATCTTTTCTTCATTTATCATGATGTTGCATATTGGTCCAGTTGTGAGGATTTTTGTTTTCTTTATGTTTAGGTGCAATCCATACTGAAAGCTGCAGTCTTTGATCTTCATCAGTAAGTGCTTCAAGTCCTCTTTGCTTTCAGCAAGGAGGGTTGTGTCATCTGCACATTGCAGGTTGTTAATGTGTCTTCCACCAATCCCGATGCCGCATTCTTCTTCATATAGTCCAGTTTCTCAGATTATTTGCTCAGCACACAGACTAAGTATGGTGAAAGGATACAACCCTGACGCACACTTTTCTTGATTTTAAAACACAGCATTCTCGTGCTGTTCGAAGGACTGCCTCTTGGTCTATGTACAGGCTCTGCATGAGTGCAATTAAGTGTTCTGGAATTCCCATTCTTCGCAATGTTATCCATAATTTGTTATGATCCACACAGTCAAATGCCTTTGTGTAGTCAATAAAACACAGATAAGTACCTTTCTGGTATTCTCTGCTTTCAGCCAGGATCCATCTGACATCAGCCATGATATCCCTCATTCCACGTACTCTTCTGAATCTGGCTTGAATTTCTGGCAGTTCCCTATTGATTTACTACTGCAACCGCATCTGAATGATCTTTAGCAAAATGTTACCTGCGTGTGATACTAATGATATTGTTTGATAATTTCTGCATTCTACTGGATCACCTTTCTGGGGATGGAATGGGCACAAATATGGATCTCTTTCAGTTGGTTGGCCAGGTAGCTGTCTTCCGAATTTCTTGGCATAAACAAGTGAGCACCTCCAGCACTGTATCCATTTGTTGAAACATATCAATTGATACTCTATCAGTTCTTGGAGCCTTTTTCGCTAATGCCTTCAGTGTAGCTTAGACTTCTTTCTTCAATATCATTGGTTCTTGATCATATGCTAACTCCTGAAATGGCTAAATGTCGACCAATTCTTTTTGGTACAGTGACTCTGTATTCCTTCCATCTTCTTTTGATGCTTCCTGCATCATGTAATATTTTCCCCGTAGAATCCTTCAATATTGCAACTCGAGGCTTGAATTTTTTCTTCAGTTCTTTCAGCTTGAGAAATGCTGAGCGTATTCTTCCCTTTTGGTTTTCTAACTCCAGGTCCTTTCACATTTCATTATAATACTTTACTCTGCCTTCTCGAGCTGCCTTTTGAAATCTTCTGTTCAGCTCTTTTACTTCATCGTTTCTTCCTTTTGCTTTAGCTACTCTATGTTCAACAGCAAGTTTCAGAGTCTCTTCTGACATCCATTTTGATCTTTTCTGTCTTTTTAATGATCTTTTGCTTTCTTCACGTATGATGTCCTTGATGTCATTCCACAACTCATTTGGTCTTCGGTCATTAGTATTCAATGTGTCAAATCTATTCTTGAGATGGTTTCCCAATTCAGGTGGAATATACTCAAGGTTGTACTTTGGCTCTTGTGGACTTGTTCTAATTTTCTTCAACTTTAACTTGAACTTGTATATGAGCAACTGATGGTCTGTTCCACAGTCGGCCCCTGGCCTTGTTCTGACTGATGATATTGAGCTTTTCCATCATCTCTTTCCACAGATGTAGTCGATTT